TGTGTGTGTGTGTGTGTGTGTGTGTGTGTGTGTGTGTGTGTGAGAGAGAGAGAGAGAGAGAGAGAGAGAGAGAGAGAGAGAGTTCGTCTCTGAATCTGGCACAGATTCAGAAGAAACGTCCAGTGGAAGGGGGCACCTGCTGGGCGGGGTCTGAGAGGTGCAGGCCTGGCTGTGCCGTTGCGGCTTTTCCAACTTCCAGGCCGTGGTGCCCGTGCCTCTTCGTCTTTTTCTCATATCACAACTGCTCCAAAATAGCGGTCCTTCGCGTGGCAGGGCCTGCGCCGTTTCCACTTTTCCCGTCTTCTCTTTTATCATCTCACGACCGCTCCAAAATACCGGTCCTTCGCGTGCCCGCCCCCCCTTGCTAAGCCCTCAAACAAAAATGCCCACCCTCCCATACGACCGCTGTTGAATGTTGAATTGACGTTGAAGGACTCAGGGGCATAAAACGCAACCCTGACAGGCTGTGAACAATTCCTGTGCTTAAGCCTTCTTAAAGGGAATCTTTTGTCTTCTTCTGTGCTGACAAGGTTCTGTCTTTTTCTGCAGGGACCATGACAACAACCCCATTCATACTTTTGCAAGTTGAAAAGTCGAAAAGAAGACTTGGCGCACTTTGCAACACAAGCTGCAGATCGGTGGTGGACGCTGAGAGGTGGAGCGTTGCGTGATATATCATGGGGTGGAAAAACCGGACTTGGCGCGCAGTAAATAATCCCCAGTGAGCTGCAGATCAGTTGCCCCTCGTTGGGATGTGGACGGATTGCGAGCGAAAAAAAACGATACTATGCAGTCAGACTCAGCTGCTGACGAGGGGCTGGAATTTGGGAGAGGATGGGAGAACGACGATGACGTGGGAGATGGTGATGACGTGGGAGATGGTGCTGAGGAAGCTGGAAGAAGAGGAGGCGGGAGGGGGGGAGAGGCCGCAGCCAGAGAAAGGCTCAGCGGTGGGATCGGGATCGGGATGGGTCATGAGCAGCGGCTGCGATCCTCCACCTCCACCGGTCCCGACTTGCTGTCCAGACCAGCTGGGCCTCCGCTGCCTCTGTTTCCAATCCTACCCCCTGAAGTGGGTGGTGCACAGCCGTCACGTGCTGCACGGCTGCGACACTTGGCCATAGACAAGGGGCAGAGTGCTGCTACAAGGTACTCGCTACAGACATCTGCGGCCTTTGATATTGACCAAGAGGTAGACGGGCGGCTGGGGCTGGCTGAGAATCCACCAGCTGCAGTCTCTGCAGAAGGTAGGGGAATTGACGAGTGTCCTTTCAACGCGTCAAGGGGCACGACAGATGGCATCTTCACAGAGCTTCCGGAGGAGAAAGAAGAGGATCGGGATCGGGGTAGCTGCCATGAAAAACGATGCGAGTATGATGGGAAAGAAAGGGCCAAGAGCAGGGACGGGAAGAGGAGGAGGAAGGACAAGGAGGAGGAGGAGGAGGGGAGTGACAGGCACGAGAGGAAGAAGGAGGAGAAGAGGAAGCAGAAACAGAAAGAGGAGAAGAAGAAGAAGAAGAAGAGGAGGAGGAAGAGGGAACGGGAACCAGCAAGCTCTGCAGCCATGGACGATGACCGTCCCTTGGTGGGCCCAGTTGCCCTTGGGACTGGAGGGAGACGGCCAGGAGTTGATGCCTGGTCTGGCACCAAGCTGGGTTCTGACAAAGGGTATTTCTTTGATACTCGAGGAGACAAGGATAATCTTGCCTTTGGCTGTCTTTATCGGTTGGATGTTGCAAGGTATGATCGTTTTGAAGGGGTTGGCAGTCATCAAGCACATGCACATCGACGGCTCGCAGCGATTCGGATGCAAAGAAGCATGGGACGGTTGGGCCCTGATTGCGATCCGGACGACTGTCATCCGAAGACAGATGGGCCACGGCGGGATATCCGGTACTGGGCGGGAAAACTGGCCAGGATATGTGCAAGTAACAGATTGCGGCGAATCAGGATAGAAGCCATGGGGAGGAGGAGGGGGAGGAGGGGCGGGAGGAGGGAGTTTCTCTCCGGTGGTGGTGAGGAAGAGTTCATTTCGTTGGACGATGAGGAGTGTGGGGTAGGAGGACGGAGCAGACAGCAGGGCCAGGTGACCGATAGAGATGGTGGAGGGGTAGGGGTAGGGGTAGGGTTGACAAGAGGGGGTGGAGGAAGGGAGCAAGAAGAAGGGGAGAATTTGGAGGAGTGGTTGATTCATAGGTCGAAAGACTTCAGCCTGAGGACAAGAGAGAGACCTTATGACGTATCCCTGTGGTTGGAGTATGCGGGGTTCCAGGACGAGTTCCTCCGACTAAACCAGAAGAAGGCGAACCAAGTGCATGCGATCGAGAAGAAACTGTCTATCTATGAGCGGGCGTTGGAAGCGAACCCGGATAGCGAAGATCTTCTGCTGGCTTACATTGGCAGTTGTCGTCAACGTGATGATGCACAGACCCTGCAGAAGAAGTGGACTCGAGCTGTCACCCGCGTACCGGGCTCCTTCAAGCTGTGGTGGGAGTACGTCCACTGGCAGCAATCGCAGTTCGCGTCTTTCTCTGTGACAGCCATTCGACGGCTTTATACGGATGCGATTCAAGCAATGGTGTTGGCAAGGAACCGGGCAAAGAAGGAGAAATTGCACAGACGTGATGGATACGATGGAGGTGTTCTTGACGACGGCGGCGTTGAGAAAGCGTTGAATGCAGAAGAGCAGCAGCAGCTGCTGCCGGAGAGAGTGGGAGAGATTGAGAGGGATGTTGTGGGCCTCTTCGCCGATCTGTGTAGATTCGAATGGCAAACGGGAAATAAGGAGATGGCGGTGGGAATGTTTCAGGCAGAGGTGGAGTATGCGGTTTACTCGCCCCCTCTGAGCATGAGCGAGGCGAACAAGATGAGGTTATTTGAAGCATTTTGGGAATCCGATGCGGCAAGGGTGGGCGAAGAAGGGGGCAGAGGGTGGGCTGCTTGGGTGGAGGCACAGGAGGAGAGGAGAGTGGAGATTATGAGAGAGCAAAAGGAGGAGGAAGAAAGGAGGGAAAAGGAGGAGCAGGAACGAAAAGGTGGCTGGACAGGCTGGCGAGATCTGAAGGAGGAGGAGTGGGGTAGAGAGAGAAAAAGCGGCAAAGGATCGCTGGAGGAAAAAAAGAAACAGCTGGGGAAGGGAGGTGGAAATGGGGATAACGGTGAAAATGATGCAGAGGACATCAGGGGTCTGGGAGAGGAGGAGTCAGAGGGGTCAGAGGAGGAGGAAGGAGAGGGGGAAGAACCTGATGAGGAAGAGTTACTTCAGCAACTGGGGCTGACCTCTGGGCAGGAGCCTGAAGTTACAGACCCATCGATATGGAGAAAATGGGGAGAGGAGGAGAGGCGGAGGGATCGAGAGGAGTGGCGGCCTTTGAGGTCCTCCATGTCTGATGATGGTGAGGAGGTAGGTGGTATGCAGGAGAAGGACGAAGAGGACTTGCTTGCGCGGAAGGTTGTATTTGATGATGTGACGGAAAACCTCTTCTCCTTGGAAAGCAAGAAAGGTAAACATGAGTTGATCTTGGTTTTCCTTGAGTTCTGCAACGCACCCATCCTCACTAAATGCTCGAATGACGCTCGTGCAAAGGAGAAACTGGAAGCTATGGAGGCCATCCCTCCAGGTAGCTTCTTGGTCGATGGCCGCGGGAAAGCCACCATGCCCGGTGCAAGAGGAGGGAACAGGTCCTCTTCTTCTGCAGACGCTCGAGCCTCAGTGAGGTGGCGTTCTGTCCATGAGCTGCTGCTGACGTCAACACCTGTTTTGGGCCATTTTGGGTCAAAGAAGGGCGTCGTTGCAAACCCAGACAGGAGAGCTGCTGTTGACGTCAACACCTGTACAGGCCATTTTGGGTCAGTACAGGAAGAGCGAGAAGTAGAAGAAAATAAAGAAGAAAAAGACGACTGTGGAAGTCCTCGGAGCTATCTTTGTGCTTCTGTTGCAGGACGTGTCTGGTATGAGGAAGCAGAGGGCCGCAAGGATTTCGTGACGAACGTCTTAAGGGAAACAGCAACCTGTGTGTTCCCGAAGGATGGTCGGCTTATAGAGGGTTTTCTCAGGATGGAGGCTGAAACGGGGGGCGGCATTGGTGCAGCCAGCAGCTCGGCGAAACGTCTCTTGAAGAATCTGAGAGAGGATTTCGGCCTTTGGACGACATACGGGCTGATGCAGGGTGCTGCTGGGAACACTGACGCTTCTCGGCGGGTATTCGAGATGACGCTGAGTTATCCCTCTTCCCGAGATGCTGCCGCGTTCCTCTGCCTGGCCTATGCGGAAACAGAGCTGTCAGTGCGAAGTGGCGGGAAGGGAGTGGTGTCAGGCCCTCAGGAGGAAAACGACAGCTTTTCGAGGGAGTCTCTGGGGAAACAACGCGCTCTGAATGTTCTGACACGTTTCGGTGAAGGCTTTGGATCTTTTGGTCAACCGAAAGAGCCCATGGATGGACTGGCCCAGCTGTCGTCAACGCGGATTTTGCGTGCTCGTAAAGGTTACGCGCATCTGATGCAAGGGCTGCGAGTGGCTAGCGTCCGGATTGGCCTCGATGAGAGGGGTGCTGCTACTGTCGCCTGCACAGCTCTCTTTGAATACTTGAGTGACGGATGGGAAGCTGCAGCGACTGTTTACGAGGAGGGTCTGGCCATGACTATGCCAGAGAAGCGAAAGAAGAGCCTGACATGCGAACTGCTCTTTCTGCGCTATGTAGATATGCTTGCGTCGGAGGTCCCAGGTGTGAGGCCAGCGCATCTGCGCCAGGTCATACTCAGGGGTCTCGCAGACTATCCCAACAACACCCGCTTGATGCATCTGTACTTGACATTGGAATCTCACTCTTCGCTGACCAACCGATTGCGCCGCTTTCTCGACGAGGCGGCATCTCGCCACCCGTCCACTCTCATCTGGTTGGTTGCCTTCTGCACAGAGGTCGACCGCGAGGGGGCAAGGTCCCGGATCCATAACCTTTTTGAACGGGCGCTCGACGTCGCAAGGAGTCCGACGTGGCAATCGGTCGTCCTGTGGCGCTGTTACGTCCTCTACGAGTTGAAGATTGCCAGGAATCCCGACAGAGCGCGCCGAATATTTTTCCGTGCGATTCACGCCTGCCCGTGGTCTAAGATTTTGTGGCTTGACGGCTTCTCTCTCCTCGGTTCGGTCCTTTCTGCCAAAGAGATGTCTGATCTTGTGGAGATCATGCGGGAGAAGGAGATTCGGCTGCGCACGGATGTGTACGAGATTTTGCTCCAAAGACTACAAGGCCAGATCACTTCCTGAGTTGCGCCAATCTTCCGTTCCGTTCCGTTCCGTTCTGTTAAAGGATCACTGCCTCTGACAAGGTTTTTCCGCAAATCTTTTTGCATGAAGGTCATCTGTTTCGTGCTTTCGTGTGTTTAGAGCCAAACTCGTCAAATCACCAGCCCCTTCACGTAACCCACCAAATCCGCCAGACGAGTTGTCTGGCAGTGGCGGTTTTCGATAAAGTGAAAGATGCAGAAGCACTCGACAAACCCAACATGTTTTTTACCCTGACGGCAGGTAACTCTCCATCCACTCATTGGATTCGACATATAGGGCCTCGCTGCACTACGCTAGACACCTGAAAAATTTCAAGAGTACATCTAGCGCTGTCAGACTCCTGGATTGGCATCAAGTGCTGTCGTCTCTGCACTTACTCCCGACTCTCAACTCTCGCGAGCATTCTTGACTGTCGGACAGAAGTTCGAGAAGCTGAAAAGACACTACACGACAGGGCAGCGACGATTTGTCCATGGAGACTGGACGCCAACTCTCGAAATTTGTAAACCGCATGAAGGTTCCGATCGGTCTCGCTTGAAAAAAACGCCGCTGCAGGTGGGAACTGTGGAAAGCTTCAAGAGCTCGTCCGAAGGGATGTTTCCGACACGTCTTGAAGCGCCAGACCACGAGTACTTTTCCACAGTTAGTGCAGCCATGACTCACTCTCGATGTTTTCGAGAGTGAATCTGAAAGTGCTTGAAATGAAATTCAGGACGCGGCATCAAGAGTTAGTGCAGCGGTGATGAACTCTTGATTTCTCAAGATTCAAGAGTAGTGCAGTGAGGCCCATAGTGTCCACTCAATTTCACGGTTGGCGAAAGATGTCCTTTCTCTCTGTCTGACCTTTTTTGTTTTGTTTTGTTTTGTTTTCTTCCCCCCTTAAAGAAGGAAAGGGGGAGATAGGGGAGGTGCGTGGATGCCGACGGCGCCGACGGCACGGTTAAATTTCTTCCCCTGGTGTTCTGTCAATATCCTAGCGAGTGCAGTTAAACGATGAGGATGTTGAGGACAAAATAATGCTCACACTTAGTGCCTACTTGGGTAGGAGTTGTGATCCCTACCTTTTGCTCATGCCAGCGGGCAGGTTGGGCAACTTGCCAGCATGGCAGAGGAGAGTCCTGATGTACAGTGCGGCCTTTTTTTTTTTTTTTTTTTTTTTTTTTTGCTTAGAACATAATCATATATATAGCAAATTCAAATTGAGGTCGGGGACCTCACAATTCAACGCGGAGTTCTGGCAGAATCAGCCTGCTTAGCTTACAGGCTTTCGCCTGCAGAGACCTTGCTACAGGCTTCAAGTTAACAATGGGTGACAGAAATAAACCTCTACCTGCCCAGTTAACACACTCATGACAGAAAATCTTCATTAATTAATTTTCGTACTTATTTGTTCCTTCCTTTTTTTTTTCCCTTTTTTTTTAATCTACTCCCCTTCCTTTTTTTTTTTCCCCTAACAAATTTACTTCCCTTTTTTTCATGCAAGGACCATGACAAGCGTCTGTTTGTACAGTTTTGTTGTCACAGAGCTCTACCGTCTTCACCCGAATACAACGCCTGGTCATTATCGCTGTATCTGGATGGAAAGTTGCCCCAACTTCTGCCATAATGGCCGGACATTGCATTCGGGTGAAGACGGTAGTTTCGGAGTTCGGAGACCGACGCTTGGGAGATGTTTTCCAAAGTTCAAACGGCGTACACACTGGACGGCTGATCGCCTAAGAGCCTCCCTCTACTACTCACCAGAAGCAGGAAAGATAAAGATATGGCGGTGTGCGGTGGAGGGAGGGACGGCCTAAGTCTCTTTTCCCAGCAGCGAGTTTTAGTCTTCGACTCTTCGCTGTGTGTAAATATCGGAGATGTGTTCTTTCTATTCTTTGTGTTCCCTTTGCTATAGCTGTAACCGCGTCCTCTCTGCGGTACTGAGAAGTTTTTTCCCGGAAATTGAGGCCCTGTCCAATCATCCAATTTTGTTTTGTTCAGTAGCGCTAGCTTAATTCAAATTTCGTCACTTTCTAGTACCCATCGGTGCATCGAATTAAACCACATGCTCCACCGCTTGTGCGGGCCCCCGTCAATTCCTTTGCATTTATTTATCTGGCTTCAAGGGTGAGACGGAGCCATAGCAGGTTTATGGTGATCGCTCTGTTCTTTCATGTTTCATCTTTATGAGAGTGTCTGTTTTGAGATCGCTCATTTATACAGTCTCCACTGTGTATTGCATGGTCTTGTGCTCTCTATTTGGTATGTCTCTCTTTCTGTTGCCACTTCTACTCTACACAGTATTCAGAAAGAGTCAACCAAGAGATGCCCAAAAAAAAAAAAAAAAAAAAAAAAAAAAAAAAAAAAAAAAAAAACTGGCACTGCCAGTGCCACTTTGGTTTTTCTTTTTTTTCTTACCAAAGGGCAGCCAGTGTCATATGATATGACACTGGCTGCACTTGGTACGGAAAAAAAGAAAGAGACTAAATAGTAAATAGTAAATATTCAACAAGCAACCCCTAAAGAAAAATTGACAGTGATTCTCCTTTGTGCTTACGACATTGATTTAATGAATTTAAATGCGGCAGGCGATGGCGGTGCAGTGGGGGTGCCATGGCTCTGCCGATGGCAGTATAGGGTAAGTGCCTGCGGTGCTGCTTGGACAAATTTTCTGAGTTGTCATGCCCCTGCTACGTGAGTATTTTTAGCGATATTTGGATTGTCGCCTCCCCTCCTCATGGCGCTGCAAGATTTGGTTACACGATGAGGATTTCTGATTGGGGATATGATCTTATAGAGGATGGTGGGCAGCCGATCCCTCGCTTGAGAGCAATCGACGCTGCTCATTAGGTTAATGCTGTGTGCCTGTGTGTCGGTGCATGTACTTTTCTCGTATACATTAGGATGGACACGTGGCATGGTCACATGAAAAAAAAAAAAAAAAATCCTTCGTCGGTTGTTTGCACTTGTCTGCTTTTTCCTCCGTTTGTGCCCCTTTGATTTCTCTGTTTTGCTGTTCTCTGTTTGGGAAAATTGTTGAAATGCCCCTGGAAGTTCGGGTAATTTGTCAGATACCCCTAAAAGGCAAGTGCGGGTATTTTGTCAGATACCCCTAAAAGGCATGGGTATGGTGAAATGCCCTTGTCGAAAAACCCGACAACAATTTTTTCCCTTTTCTTTTTATTTGCTTTCTTCTCTCAAAATTACCTCCCACCTGCCGACACATGAATCTTAGGTCTGCCTACATTTTCCTGGAAGCCTGTTTTCTGTTATGTTCTTGTGAGAAACAAATTTTATGTCTAACAGACTCTAACTGTATTATCCTGAAAACTTCAGTCCAGAGATGGCGACTACGACTGTTCATTCGTTTCAGCGGGAGCTGGTAGCCGGGACAGGAGAATGATCATCGGCAGCAAAGCAGTTATCCCAAAAATTTGCAGGATATGGTTTGAAAAAACCACTTGCACGATGTGATTTTGTAATTGGATCGATTACATAATATATCCAACCATGCAATCGTGTTGCACAAGCGGGGAAAAAGAAAAAAAAAACTCCAAAAAAACTGGAAAAAAAAAATGTTGTGAAACATCTCAACACAAGCAACATATGCCTGAGCACCATCCCAAAATTCTTATTCAAGTTTTGGAATGGTGTTCAGGCAAATGTTTCATGATGGAGATGGTGCCAATACGTGTTCTTTTCAGATATTTTTCAGATTATTTATTTATTTATTTATTTTGGCCGTTGGTGCGACGTGTTCATGCAATCAGATGTATTGCGTAATCGATTCGAACGTGTAATTGGCTCCATTGCACAATGGAATCAATTCCGTAATCGATTCGATTGTGCAACCGAGCCAATTGCACAATCGAGCCGATTACATAATTAACTCGATTGCACAATCGAATTGATTATGTACTTTATTCAATTGCGCAATTGAGCCGATTGCATAACCGATTCGATTGCGTAATGGCGACGGGCGATGGCGGGGCGGTGGGCGATAGCGACGGAGGGTGGAGGGCGGAAAAGGGCAGAGGGTGGGAAGAGGCGGAAGATGGGAAGCGGTGGAGGGCAGGAAGCGGCAGAAGGTGGGAAGCGGTGGAGGGTGGGAAGCGGCGGAAGGTGGGAAGCGGTGGAGGGAGGGAAGCGGCGGAAGGTGGGAAGCGGTGGAGGGCGGGAAGAGGAGGAAGGTGGGAAGCGGTGGAGGGCGGGAAGCGGCAGATGTTTGAGAGCGATGGCAGAAGGCAAAGGGTGATGGCAGAGGGCGGAATGCGACAGAGGGCAGAGGCTTCACGTGATGGCGGCAGGGAACGGCCGTGGCAGGGAAGATGGCGGTGGTGGGGGAGGATAGTGGCGAGGGAGATTGAGGTGGCAGCAGGGAAGATGGTAGCAGGGGGACATTGAGGACACGGCGGAGATGGCCAGCACGCCTCCATCTCCCCTGCTGCTGCCTCCATTTCCCCCGTTGTCGCCACATTTTTTCCCACCGCGGCCATGTTCGCTATCGTGACCATCTACCAGAAACTATCTCCTTGTTCGTGCAGCTCGTTGCACCTCGCCTTTTGGTGGTACTACAGTACCTTTTACATTGTCCCTTAATCGCTTATGGTGGTGGGTTGAAATCTGATGTGCTACCTCTTCGTCGTTGGGAGGACCTGAGGCCTTCTCGATCTGCGCCCGTTCAGCCTTTCAAATTTTGAATATTATCAGGTATGGGCGGGGATCTTTTCTCTCCTTGGAGTCGGTTTCGCTTCTTTCATTCACCCCCCCCCCCCATGGCGTCCATTGCCTGTGCATTGTGCCCTGTGGGTTTTCACGATCGCCTCCCTGCGACCCTTGCTTTTTCGGGCTCTCCATGATTTGCGTAACGGTGGCCACTTGTCCCGTGTGACAAGCATACCTATAGAACAACTTCTCAGGTGCAACTGCGGAGTTCTCTGCTATACCTTTTGTTCGAAAGCAGATAGCGGACCGTATACGAGTACTCTAGAGACCATAAGAAAAATTTTGGAGGCGATTGATTGGCAATGATGAGTTGTTTGAGGACTGTGAAGATGCGGTTGATAACCAGATAGGAGGAGGAGGAAAATATGTTTCTTGCCGCACTTAGGATTTCGAAGACGTAGAGTCTAATGGTACTGTTTATTGTGGTACCTCTCATGGGATGGCCGAAAGTCTCATTTGGCTTTGCTGAGTATATTGTTTAGACAACCAGTACACAGCCCCAAGGCCCCCAACCAAGTTGAGATTCCGGTTGAGCCTCCCCACAAGAATCTTGGAGGCCTGGGATAGGACGTCTAATGGGTCATTGGGAAAATGTTGCGCGGTGGCATCGAGGCCCATCCCTGACGGGGAAATAATTCTTCCTCGCAACAGACGAGCACTGTCCCTATGCCCCTAGCTTTTTGTAAAGGGTCATTTCCATTCTCCTCGTATACTAATGATGAATTAATGAACATACTTTTCTTGCATTTGTCGATGATTTGCATTCTCCTCGTATACTGATGATTTAATGAACTTACTTTCCCCCCCTCGCATTTGTCGATGCCAAAACAACTCTGCCGTATACTCGTGCATAAGACTTCTCAAAAAATAGTTCTTGCCGTACATAGAAAAATTGCAGCCTTGAAATATAGGCAATAACATGTTTATGTTTTTCTGCGTTGCATCTGTTCCCTTATGCGTTAGGAGAAGTCGGTTTTTGGTGACATTTTTGTGACCCTGGCCAATTCATGTATTGTGCGAATGCATGCAAAACTAGTTTTCCAAAAATTACTCGGGACGTTTTTCAAGCTGGTCCGATGTTTCTCACCATTTCCAAAAACGTCCTGATGCTCATACTCGGGATGCTGCGCACAACAAAAACAAAACAGCCTCTTCCACGTACTTGTGCGTTCGACTTTCCGGAAAATCGTTTTTGTTGTGCGCAGCATCCCAGAGCATCGGTGTAGTTGCAGATAATATATTAATATGTTTCTCACTTTTTTTAAAGGTGCTGCATCTGTTTTTCATTGCTCGACCGATAAATTTCTGCTGAAATTTTTGTGACGTTGGTCAATGCATTAAAACTATTTTTTTGAAAATCCTCGTAATTAAAGTCCCGTTTCCACAAAATGTCTACTTTTCACGAAGTGCTTGTTAATTTGGAAAGCAAAGAACCTGGTCTAGGACTCTGAGATAATGATAGCTAAGTAAGGATGGGAAGGGTAGGATGCAAGGGAATATCAGGGTCTTAAACCACCAGTACCCCGCAGCCATATATTGGCCGTCGAAAAAATAAAGCAGAATCGTTGCAACTTCGTTGAATTTGGGCGCTCAATTCCACGCCTATGCATCTGAGCGCAGCTGCCCGGTGTATGCGCCAGAACTCGCAACTTGCTTGCGTACTAGTACTGTTGGTTTAAAAGACTCGTGGATCACAACCATACTTGCAAGCAGACGGACCGGACGAGCGTCCGGTCTGGTCCGCTTTGCCGCGTGCGGCACCCTCCCCCCGGACCGGACCGGACGGGGGCGTTTTTTTTTTTTTTTTKGGGGGGGGGGKGGGGSGTAACTGGTCGTCGGGCGCACATTCGTGCGCCGCACGGGTCCGGTCCGGCGGTCTGCCGCACGTGCGGAACCGCCCGGACGGCGTCCGCTTGCAAGTATGATCACAACCTATCATAATACTCTTGCAATAGTGGGACACTGGACCCCTTTCCAGCGGGTGCTGCTCCCTCACCATTAGAAAAAAGGCCAGCCTTGAGAAAAAAAGGCCCCGATCCCGGGGGTTCTCTCACCACACCACCTGTATAGTACTAGGCTTCGGCAGGGATGGATGATGAAGCTATTGCTTCGCGGAAACCGACCGTGTTCACCCGAATACAACATTATTATATCTGTACTTGTGCCAACTTTGAGTCTAGATACAGCAAGAATTACCGTACATTGTATTCGGGTGAACACAGTAGAAAACCGTGGATTCATCCCTGGTGGTCCTCATGTTCAAGGGCAGATGGATGTATTGGATGCAATTCAATCTTTCGATTGTTCCCATTTCATCTCACAACCCTCCCCCCCTCCCCCCTCCCCCTCTCTTAGCGAATGCATGGATAATCGAGGGGTACCACCAACTCACTCATCTTCTGGATGCCCGGAAAGCCGAGGTCACAGGGGGTCTCGGTCAAATCCAAACAACCAAACGCTCGAAGGAGGTCTGTGAAGCCCAAACTGCGGAAGGTGACAGAGGAGGTCCGCCAGGTCCAAAAATGGCCAAAAACTTTCGCTCCCCCCCCCCCTCCGGGAACTTTTCCAAGCCGAAGACTTAGGGATATATTTTTTCTACCGTTGTGAATGAGAAAATAAAGTGTTTTTTTTTTTTTTTTTTTTTCCCCCCCCCCCGGCAGAATCGACCCCGTGGGACAGTAATGTTCCATGATAACATACTCTTGGCTGCATCGTCGGCGCTCCACGCACAGAGGCGCAGAGGGGAAGACACTGCGGACACATCTGCCTAAAAAAGGGTGCCAGGCAATCGTTGTCTGGGACAAGCATCTCCCTCTGAAGTACCGAACCCGGCCCCCCTCCCGCAGTCACGTCACAGCTTCCAACTTCAAAGCACAAACTTCATTTCCCTATAAACTAGACAACCTACCACCCCCGACATGTAGTGACTCTGTTCAGAACTACGACTCTAGCGATGTGGCATATCTGCCTTTTCCCAAAACACTGCACTCATTCCTCTTTACTTGAACATAGCTGAACCACCAATCTCCTCCACCGTGGAAATAGCTTTGGGCCCGCCAAGGTTTCCAATTGTGCTTGGTCTCTCTCTCTCTCTCTCTCTCTCTCTCTCTCTCTCTCTCTCTCTCTCTCCAAGGTGTTGGGGGGATGCCACACCGCTCACCCTTACCAAGCAGCTTGGGTCTTGACACTCGAAGGAGGCCATACTACCCACCCTGAGTTGGAAGCCCACTTGGTAGTGGGGGCTCCCCTCCAGTGGCTAGGGCCCCACTTGGTAGTGGGGCCTCCCTCCAGTGGCCAGGTCTCCACTTGGTACTGGGCCCTCCCTACAGTGGTCAGATCTCACTGAAAGAATTCTTCATTCCTGGGCATCGATCTTTATAAACTACAGGCAGAAATGAAGAATCAGGACAAATGGGACCTTGCCCCAGCAGCATGGTCCCACTAGCAACGGGGATTGGATTAAGATTCTGAACCTGGGCGTGTTTTAGGCAGAGGTGCAGAAAAGGAGTTCAATCTCGATTTTCTGCACTTGTCCACAAGCGCAGCCAGATTCCGGCTTTCAATCCAATCCTCTTTGCTAATGGGAGATTATGGGACCATGCTCCAGGTGTCTGGGACCTGGATATCAAACCGGATGTGTCCGATTTCAATTTCTTTTGTCTGGAAATCTCAGACAACTCTTTTTTTTTTTTTTTTTTTTTT